TCTTTTGCTTCTTAATGCCATCCTTATTCACTGGTGTCTTGCCTCCAGCTGCTGATGACATAGTGAGTGATTCTTTGCTAAAATGTAACGGAACGATACCCAGGTCTCCATCAAATCTATTCTTTGCAACCTGGATATACTTCTTGCCTCTCAGCGAAGTCAGTCTTTTGTCTTGTAGCAGCAGAATGTTGTCTGCTTCTTGGGCTGCTTTTGCACTACCAAAGATAGATGCTGTCTGTAGCTCTTCGGTATCTTTCTCTTTTCTTGGGTGAATAACCACGGTAACATGACAGTTATTGACAGTGGAAAATTTACGCAATGAAGCGATGATATTGTCATAGAGACCAAACCGGTCTGTCGAGGCCAATCGATCGGAAAGTCCCACCATGAACTGTAGGTTATCGACGATGACGTGTTCAATGTCATGAACATAAACAGCGTGTGTCATAGCTTCCAAGACCAGCTTGAAATTCTGCTGTCCGTGAAACGTCATAAAGTACAAAGGCAGGTTTTCGAACTTGTCTGCCCAGAAATCAAACAAGTCCAGTTGACTCTCAAGATTGACTTTGGAGAACTGTGTTAACATCATTTTGGCAAGTCTGACATTTCGTATTTCAAAGCTGCCCCACAATGTATTAACACCTTGGGAACACAGATCAAGTGAGTATTCACTCATGAATGTAGTTTTCCCACTTCCAGTTGGTCCAGTGAAAACAGTCAATTCTCCACGACGATGCCCTTTCAGTAGTTTATTTAAAAGAGGAAACCGTGACCACTTCACACCGGCCACCTGTTCAGCATGTGAAAGTTCCCCAAGGACCTCTTCTCTTATGTCCGGAAAGACACAATAGCTTTGTGACTGACAGGCTGAGCTAGTTTTATTATATTATTCAGGTTCATCTGCTTTTCCAGGGCTTCTATTGGACGAGGATTCTTTTCTTTCGGTCTGATAAAGTAACATCGTCTTGGATTCAGTTTCTTCAAACTGTTTTGCCGCTTCCCATGACCTCAAGTCATTTCCAAACCAAAGTAGTATTCGCTCAAACTGCTCCAACAAAGGCAAAACCTCCTGAGGAAGAACAGATATTCCTCGCGGCAAGGCGAGCGCATTCAAACGTGTTGCCTGGGTGACAGCCATGGCATCAGCTTCACTTCCAGTCAATACTATATGCTTATCATCAGCATGAATTAAATTCCAACCGAACAACCCTGCACAATCAAGTTTCGGTAAATGATGGTCTGTGAACACCGGTCGGCCTTTTAAACTTACATCTGAACCAAGAACCCTGATTCCTTGTAGGGTGTTACCATGGTGATACCTTGGAAACATCAAAGATTTGGATATCTTTTGAATGTGGACATCATACTTGCTCATAATGTCCAATGTCAAAGGTTTCATATTGTGAATCTGTTTTAATTTTGCAACAAGATCTTCATCACCATCTTTGATAGGGGTTACATCACTCCACAAACTCTCCGCCTCTTTCACCTCTGTGTTCACGCCATTAGTTTCCGCTGTTATAATCGGTTTCATTTTTTTCCTTTGTGAGGCAGTCAAAACATCTTGTAAGCTATCCCAACTACCATTATACTTGATACATTCACACGAGTAGCTCCCGGTGGTCATGTTGACATACATATGCAGCTGGGCTTTGTTGAGGTTGTCATGGCAACAAAATGGACACTTAGCAACCAAGCATGTATATCCAGTCTTGCATTCAAATCCTTTTTCTTTAAGGAATTTTCTCATTTCGCTAACGGTGATATTTAACGATTTTTTGTTTAGCATTAATGTTTTAATCGAACGAACCACTTTATGTAATGTCTTCCATGACGGAGTTGACAAGTATCCATATTTTGAAAACATTGTATAATAAATAAAACAGTCTTCAAAATCAGTTTTACATCCCAGGGCACCTGGATTGCAAGGAAAAGACAAGTGTGAAGACAAGAAAAAAAGTTATGACCGGGACAATAATAACAAATTAACTTGAATAATTCACTTTCATCATATTGCTTCTATCTTTATCTCTCAATTCTATGAACCATTGATAAATAGACAGTATTTAATTAACAGATATTTACAACCATATGAATGTACATGTACCAACAAATCTTTGCCTTAAATACCTTGAAAGTGTAGCATGGACGAAAAAATATTTTTTCAATATTGTTGTATTTGATACTAAATTTATTCATAAACTTAAATTATTGTTTTTGCAGTACTATGTATTTTTTTGAATAATAATAAACACTAATACGCAGGTGCAGTGATTGTTATTATACATGTACCTACGAATTCAATCAATGAATGTGTGTATGATAGAATGTTATGGTTTCATCATAGTCACTTGTTACCCATAACAAGTCTTTTATTAACATCAGAGGTCCGTACCTTCTCCACTACCATAAAAAATAGACAAGTTAGGAAACACAACTCCATATTTTCCAGCAGGTCACTTTTTTAACG